ACCCCACCCCACCCCACTCGCCCGTCTCCGCCCCGGCCGCAGCTGGCGTCGACGTCGTGCACTGCCACTCATCGCACCACGCAAAGGGAGCCGAGCTGTTCCAGGGGAAGCTCATCATGCATGGCGCAGGCGACCTCATCAGCGACTACGAAGGCATACAGGCGCGCAAATGCACGCGCACACGCGCGCCCCTGCCTCCAGGCACGCGAGCTCGCCGGCGTCCCCGCTCCCCGACGTGCGCCGCGGCGCTCCGCTGTTCGCAGTTTTGCGGGCTATGGAGGCTGGCATGCATGCAGCGAGCGCGGCGCGCGGGGGTTGGCGCCTTGGGCAGCTGCGGCGGCTGCAGAAACAGCTGCTGAGCAATCGCGGAGGTGTTGAGCAAGGGCCGGGCACACTGGAAGTGTGCCGGCTGGTAGTCGCTCCATAAGCCTGACCACCAGTTTGGGCTTGTACGCTTGCGCTGAAAATGCATCCCTTTCACTTGAAATGCATCCCGTGAACAAATGCCCACCCGACCTAGATGTGGCCAAACACTGCGCGCGCCGCGACTTCCAGCGCACGCCCAGCGCTTGCCACGCGTGCACGCGCGCGCCACGCACGTGTAGGCGCCAGGCGCGCACTTGCACACGCAGCCCGCAACGCCCCCGCACCCACTTGCCCGGCCAGAACGTGTTTGTGGAGTCGCGCTTTCCGCCGGAGCAGTACAGGGATGACCTGGGCCTGCTGTGGTACGCTGACATCAGCATGACTGACGGCCGCCTGGGGCAGCTGACCGTGACTCCCACGCGGCTCAGGTGCGGCGTCCTAGAGCCGGCACGGCAGTGCGCGCGCTGGCTGAGCGCGGAGAGATTCCGAGCGTCTAGAGGAGGGGGTTAGAATGCGGCAGGCGCAAGGGAAACCAAGGGGGCGGCACAAGGCCATTTTAGGGGCGGCACACCATGCACTGCCGTGATTTGGTCATGTCAGCGAGTGTCAGACAGCGCCGCTGGAAGAGCTCACCCACTCTGGCTTATGATTGCGCCGTTGTCTTGCGCCAACTTGCGCCGCGGTGCTGCCTCCACCACCGACGCCCCCCGGTCCCCCTGCCCTGTACGGAGGCACCTGCGCCTGGAGGCGCCCGAGCCGTCCGACTGGCGCTACATCCAATCGACAATGGACAGGGAGTGCAGGAGGCTGGGGGCGCAGGGGGGCGTCAAAGTTGTGGGGTCGGGGCCGGGGGCGCGGCTGGCGCTGCAGGAGGGCGGGGGAGCAGGGGCCGACAGGTGATTAAGGGACGGGCCCCCGGCTGCGCGGGCGGCTCAGTAGCGGTGATGTCTTGCGCTGGGGATTGGAGTTGGTCAGGGTTGTTGGGAATGCCTCTTGTTGATGTGATGTCACCGCTTGCTGAAATTGCTGCTGCGGCCATCGCTTAGGCACTGCTGCTTGTTTACACAGCACATCTGTTCTCAAGTGCCCGCTGCTTCTGCTGTTGTGTGGGGCAAGGGTGTGCCGGTGTAAAGTCTACTTGCTCGGCCCCGTTGTTGCTGGGATGACAAGGTGGCGGCGCCAACATCAGCAATTTGATATGCAACAGCTTTAGACGCAGAGGCTTGCGCGGTCCACGGCACGGGACGTTGGAGTGCACATGGGAAGGCGAGCTCGTGGTGCCCCTCGTGTCGTAATGCATGCGGAGTTTTTGACAGCGAAAAGCGCCCAGCGAGGCCCGCGCCAGAAGGAGCCGCCAGGCGCCGCCGTGCTCCGAGGATTGGCATGAAACTATTTGTAGGGCAGGCGAGCAAGCATGCGGGGGAGCGGTCACCCAGGGAGCGTGAGGACACGCGCACTTCCTGAGTCGTACAAACGCAATCCAATTAGTTACACGGGCTGAAGCTCCTGCCGCCCTTGACCGCCTCCATAACCTCGCGCATGCGCCGGAAGCTACTGGCCGCGCACTGGGCCCGCCCGTGCAGCGCCCGTTGGTTTGCGGCCTCGGCGACCTCGACCTCTGACGCCCGCTGCCGCAGCACAGCTGCCACTGCCATGGCGGCCCCGTCGTCCAGCTGAAAGACGCCCAGGGCTTCCTGCTGCGGCACGCATCCGGCGGTGCGGGTGTCTGCTGCGCTCCGCACATGCAGGGGCCTGCCAAGCAGACTACCCAGTGGTGCTTCACCATCGCCGCTGTGCCCGCTGCTGCCCCTGCCGTGGTCCCTGCCATTGACGGGGCCAAGTCCGCTGCCGCTGGATTGGCTACCATCAGCGGCGGTGCTGCTGCTGCAATTGCCGGTGCCGATGTTGCAGCTGCTTTTGTTGCCGCCAAGGCTGGCTGCAGCGCTGTTGTCCTCGCCAGGTTTGGCTTCGCCAGGCTGAGCACAAAAGTTGTGGGCCTCAAACTCCAGCAGCGGCGTGGTATGGCCCATGGGCAAGCCTTGTACAGGTTCCTGCTCCAGCTCCGGCCCCTGATGCTGACGCAGCAATGGCAGTGGTTGGGGCTCTGCTGTTGCTTCCTGCGGCTGGTTCTGGTGCTGGTGGTGGTGTTGCTGCTGTTGTTGTAGCTGCTGCTGTCTAGTCTCCGGTTCCAAGGCAATCAGCTCCTCCATGCCAATCTCTGCAGCATCGCTTCTGATCCCCCTGTCGTGCTCTCGCGCATCATCCTCGTTGCACGCCCGGCACGACAGCTGCTGCTGCTGCTGCTGGTGCTGCTGGTGCTGCTGCTGCTGCTGCTGCTGCTGCTGCTGCTGCTGCTGCTGCTGCTGCTGCTGCTGCTGCAGTGATGCTTGGCGGCGAGCCAGGGTCCCCCTGCAGGACCGGAAGGGCCGATGCAAGAAACCTCAGCCTGAATGTACCATTGGAAAACTTCGCCATTGCCAGATGAAACATGCTAAAATTGGTAAACATCATGACACATCATCACCTGTATGCTGACTGGATCACCAGGATGGCTTTGCGGCGCCTGAGAAACTCAAGCCGGGCACGCCGCGCCCGCCAAAATGACTGCCACATGTGCAAGTTGAGGTAGGCATGGGAACTGAGATGTGTGCAACTGCTGCGCATGGCACAAGCATGTTGCACGATTCCGGGGAAGCCTGCCCCTGCACAAAGCTGCGGCTGCATCCCGCCAGCATTGACTGTACCTGGATGAGAGCGGCAGGTTGGTTGCCCCAGGTGCTGTAGAAACCACGCCAGACCGATAACACGCCGTCCTCTGCGTGCCACCCCTGCAGGTTGGCTCTTGCGTGCGACTGCTGTCGCGCCTCGGATGGTGCTGGTTCCCCAGCCGCGCTCGAAGGCGGCGGCGGCGGTGGCTGCTGCTGCTGCTCCTCCTCCTCCTCCTCCTCCTCCTGCTGCTGCTGCTGCTGCTGCTGTTGCTGCTGCTGCTGCTGCTGCTGCTGATCAGCACAGTCTGCCTTGCAGTTGAGCAGCTCGATGAGACCCACCAGCATGTCATCGTCAGCCTCTGCTGTCCGGCCTGCGCTGCTGCCACTGCTGGGCCTGCAACTGCCGCCAGACGCCGGCCGCTGCACTGGTGCCTGGGCGCGCACAGTGGCGTTCGTGGCGCTTCCACATGAATGCTCGCACTCCTCTAGTGCCATCATGGTGCTCAGCAGGCGGTCCGACTCCCTGTCGCTGAGCACGAGGCGCGGCTGGCGGTGCTGCACACGCCCGCGCGGGGTGCTTGCTTGTGCGCGTCCACCGCTGGCAGCCTTGGGTGCACCTCCCTGCCCCTTCTTCGACGGCTTTACTTTGTCGTCGATACACGATTTCAAAAACTCCTACAATGAAAAGTGTGGCAGATGGCATCCCTAAAACGAAACCGAGTGATAGACCGCTTGCAGAGCCATGCTGCTCACCTGTGCCACCGTGCTGGTTTCCCGACATTTTCTGAGGACGCGGTGAGCGTCCTCAAGCTTGGAGGCTGCTTGTCGCGCAGATGCAACGCTTTGACCGGGTGTCGAATGCATTCCTGCACAATATGCCCGCACGGCTACTTATATTGCCATACCGCTGAACGTTTTCGATGTATTTTGCAAGGTGTAGTGCGCCGCGTGTGCCTTCGAGCCGTTGGTGAACAGCAGTGAATGCAGCGCGTCCGTGAACATGCGAATGTTGCTCATCCTGTTTGCTGCATGAGGACACTCCTTCCTGGTTGAGGCTTCTGCGGGTATACACACATGTCCGCCTTGGTGGAACCACTCCTGCAGACGTGCGCGCATGCATGTAGAGGAGCGCAGTAGCCCCCCTGGCTCGTCCCGGGGATTGCAGCTGTGCGTTCAGGCAGCATGGTTTACACAGCGTCACCATAGACTGGAGAGCAGCAGGGCCCCGCGATAGGACCTGCAACATACACATACGCGACAAGGCATCATGCAGAATAAGCCGTGCATAGTCATGCTGGCCGGCATCTTGGCACGTCGTGGTACTGAAAGCGCCAGCTGCGGGGTGGTTGCAGAGGGAGGGCAAGTTGGTCAGCTGAGGCATTGACTTCCCTTTGTCTACCTTGCAAGCCTTACCGCGGGCGCGATGGCCGCATCAAAGCACACGCTGCCGGCCGTCACACCGCACGACGGCCATAGACTTGTTCAATGACTTGCAGCCTTGGCGCGGCTTACCCTAGCTTGTCAGGCGGGCCTGCGGGGAACGCCATGCATGTGATGGGCAGGAATGGCGAAGGTCACACGCACCACTTGCCGGCAGTCACGGGGGCGCCCCACAGCCAACAGGTGGGCAGCAGGTATGGCTAGGGCTCCTGCAATCGAATGTCGGCGACACCAAGTGCCGCTGCGCTGGGGCACTCTCGCGCAGCGGGATCACCGGAGTCTCGCCGCCTTGCAGCTGCAAGGTTGATTTGGCACTGTGTTGAATCCCTAATGGGAAACCACTTTCTCGGGCGTCTTGCTGCGGGGCCAGGGAACTCGGGCCTCGCAGCGGCCAGCCTGTGCCGTGAGGTGCTGATGCAGCTGCTGCAAAACGCCATCACGCAAGCCAAGTGCCATCGCACTGTAAGCACCACCCAGCCACGTCGCTGAACCTCCTCACCGGTCTGTGCCAGGATTACGGGTGTCTTGGCTGGTGCAGCAGGAGCCCAATGGGTCTGCATCAAGCTCCACTACCTGCGCTCGCCTCGTGACGCAGCATGGTGCCCCTGCCGAACACAGCCAAACACACTTACCGCATGTCCTGAGCCACTTTACAATGTTTTATGATTGTATCAATTCCCTTGAGTCCTGAATACATGCCAAACAGGCTGACAGGTGCCGGTGTCGAGATCACATAGTCAGAGAGTAGGGTCGAAGCGAAGGTATCAGCAACTTCACTGATAGAGTGAAGCATTTATACAGGCAAGCAGCTACTTGCCACGCCATTGAGGCACCACAGGTCAAAGAACAGGGCCCGCCGCTCCATTCTCGAGCCGAATTGCGGATTTCAGCAGGGTCTTACGAGCTAGATCTGCTTTTTGACGATCGCATCAAACAAACTCAGTTCGCTCGCAGCCCCGGGCTCGGCACGCGGGGTGCTTTGCCTTCTTAGGGGCAGCAAGCACAATGGTGGGTGGCTAATCGCTGCGGTTGAGCAATAATAAGTTGGAACTACTGCTTGTGATGGTCCTGAGGCTTGAAATCTGCAGATCAAGCGGTGATGGCCAGCCTGCCGCCTCTCTTGGCACTCGCAGGCGGCCACTGCTGAGAACGTGGCTGAGCAGCTGGCCGAGGTCGCTGTAGAGGATAAGCCCAAAAAGGAGAAGAAGGAAAAGGCCCCCAAAGTGCCGAAGGAGAAGAAGGAGGGTGAGCAGCACATACGCAGCAGCAGCGGCAGCGCATGCTGCAAATTCACATGGGCATGCATGCAGCAAGTGTGCAGCAGCCTGCCTCGTGAAAGTTGCGCTTGATGCATGCTCACGTGTGTCAGTTCAGACCGAATTGTCGAGAGCGATGATGCACCTAGCGGAAAGCGAACAGTGCCGCGATGCGCAGCAGTGCTCAACCGCCCCGCCCAACCGCAACCGCCCTCCTCGCAACCCCGTCGCTTGCAGGCAGCAGCGGTGGGGCTGGCGGCGGCGGCGGCAAGGACAAGAAGAAGGAGACGCAGCTGGGGCTGTCTGCCACCAAGAATGAGGACTTCAACAAGTGGTACCAGGTGCGAGCCCCCTTTGAAGGGCACATTCGCAGGGGCGGATGAGAGCGAGGGCTGCGGGGCTGCTGGGAGGGCGGCGGCGGTGCCCGGGCAGGGCAGACGGAGTGACTCAGCTGCCACCAGCCAACTCGAATGGCGCTGGAAGGCTTTGGCACCGCAGCAGCACGCGGTGCAGCAACCAGCCGGTGCAAATGCACCCGAGCCATTGCGTGTTCCTGTGTTGCATGCAACCGAACATGCGTGCGCACGTGCATGCATGCATTGTGATGTGCAGGAGCTGGTGGTTGCCAGCGAGCTGATCAGCTACTACGACGTCAGCGGCTGCTACATCCTGCGCCCATGGGCGTTTGCAATGTGGGAGGTGGTGCACCGCTGGTTTGACGACAACATCAAGGCGTTGGGCGTGCAGGTGTGGGGTGCATGGTGTGCGTGCATATGTGCGTGCGTGCGTGCGTGTGTGTGTACCAGATTTGTGTGTGGGCATGGGCTCACACGTGCATGTTGTGAGGTGGTGGTGGCAAGCTGCAAGGGGCAGCAGCCCTGGCCGTGATGAGACCACACATAAGGGATTTACTCGAGCGCCCCCACCGGGGCGCTGTGAGATGAATTTCGTGTACCAATGGATCCTACTGAGCCAAAGCCCGCGTACGTCACGCAGCACACTCTGCAATCTAGGCTGTGCTGCCACAACCCTTGTACACACACACCAAGCGTGCATGCATGCCATGCGTATGCAGACAGCCACGCAAACTCCCACTTCCTGCTGTCTCGCCCCAGCCTGCGTTCCCCGCAAACTCGCCTGCGTCGCACTCCAGTGCTGCTTTGCCCGCCTCCGTCACAGCCAACACCCGCAATCCTGCTGCCCTCGCACGCGCCCGACACCCACCCTGCCTCCCCCCAGAACGCCTACTTCCCGCTTTTCATTACGGAGGACGTCCTCAACACTGAGAAGGACCACGTCGAGGGCTTCGCGCCCGAGGTGGCCTGGGTGACGCGCAGCGGCAACACGCCCATGGAGAAGCCCATCGCCATCAGGCCCACCAGCGAGACGGTGCGAGGGGGGGGGGGGTATCACGGGTGGAGGGGAGTGGTGGGAGGGGTGATGGCAGCCGTCCTCCATGAGGCGCCGCGGGGCCGCGGGTACGTGGGGGAACGGGTGCCTTGAGATGTTGCTATGGACGAGCGTCATGAGCAGCAATAGTGCATGGGTGCCGTGGTGCCGTCTCATTTGCTCCGCCGCCTGACCTCCACCCGCGGCGCCCCACCTGCCCGTTCAGTGTTCCTGCTCCCGTGCTCACCGTGTTCTTGCAGCGAAACCTGTGCAACCCTCACTGCGACTTTATGCCCATAACCATGCCACCTCCTCATCTCCCACGCTCTCGCTTGGCCCCCATCCCATCCCCTCCTCCAGGCCATGTACCCCTACTTTGCGCAGTGGATCCGCTCCCACCGCGACCTGCCCCTGCGCCTCAACCAGTGGACCAACGTGGTGCGGTGGGAGTTCAAGTACCCCACGCCCTTCATCCGCAGCCGCGAGTTCCTCTGGCAGGAGGGCCACACCGCCTTCGCAACCCAGGTGGGGGGCGCGGGCCGGGGCAGGGACAAAGGGGGTCTTGTCAGAGTCGTGCGTGTGGGTTTGGGGCACTTTTTTCCATTCATTGGCATTACGGTGCCTGCAGGCGTTGGCCGGCCGCGCTCGTGTGCATGCACATTCGCACCCATGCGCCCTGCTTTGCCCCATCACATGTGCACGCATGCACGCGCACACACACACATACACACGCGCACATACACATTCGCATCACAAACACATATGCACACACAACTCCGATCAAAAAAAACACAACCACACACATCCACTCACAAATTGCAGGAGGAGGCTGACGCGGAGGTGCTCCAGATCCTGGACCTCTATGCGGGCGTCTACGAGCAGCTGCTGGCCGTGCCCGTCACAAAGGGCCGCAAGTCGAAGAAGGAGCAGTTCGCGGGCGCCCTGTACACAACCACCGTCGAGGTGCGGGGAGAAAGGGGGGCGCTGGCGGCAACATGATGCCAGGGTCTTCCGCCGTTTGAACCTTTGTGGTGCATAAAGCCGCTTGTCGCGCGCAAGCTGCTGCGGCTGACTTTGCAGGGAGCGCGAGCATCGCCGCTTCCGATCCACCAGGTTTGCAGCTCGAGAGCTCCCGGCGTCGAGCGTCACTCTTGACCCCCTGCACCCTCACGTTGGCTGCGCCAGGCGTACATCCCGGAGACCGGCCGCGGCATCCAGGGCGCCACCAGCCACTGCCTGGGCCAGAACTTCAGCCGCATGTTTGGCATCGAGTTTGAGACCGAGGAGAAGACCAAGCAGCACGCGTGGCAAAACAGCTGGGGCCTCACGACGCGCACGCTGGGGGTCATGGTGATGACGCACTCGGACGACAAGGGGCTCGTGCTGCCGCCGCGGGTCGCCCCCAAGCAGGTGCGCGGCGGGTCGCTTGCTCTCAAGCAATGCAGGGCCGCCGCTGCGCCCCTCCACGCCGCGGTCGCTTTTCTGCTGCGACACGACGCCCCTCCCGCGCCTCCAGGGCGCGCCCGCCTCGGTCCCAGCGCTGCGCGCGGCCCGCCTCGGCTCTGGCGCAGGGCTCGTCGCGCCGCGGCCGCCCTGCCTCCCGCCTTCTGCCAGCAACTCCTGTCTGACCTCGACGCCTGCCTTTGTGACGCCACCTCGCGCTCCCCCTGCAGGTGGTGATCATCCCCATCCCCAAGGGCAACTCCTCCCCTGAGGTGGCGCAGGGCATGTTTGACAAGGCGGCAGAGCTGCGGAAGGGCCTCGAGGCAGTGGTGGGTTTGCAGGGCTTTGCCTTCTGAGGGGGTCGTGTGGGGCTGTTGATCTGAACGCAACCTGCCAAGGGTTAGAATATGGGGTGGCACGCCTCACATGGATTTACGGCCACGCTAGTGAAGGTTGTACACGTGCAAGTGCACGCATGCCGTGTGTGTGTATGTGTGTATGTGTGTGTGTGTGTTGGCGTGTGTGTGCATGTCATGTATGGGGTGCCCCGGCTGTGATGAGACCACACATAAGGGATTTACTCGAGCGCCCCCACCGGGGCTTGATGAGATGAATTTCGTGTACCAATGGATCCTACTGAGCCGAGGCAACTTACGTGCCAGTTGCATGAAGACATGTGATGGGGCATGCTTTTGCGTGACGTGTTGCTGATCAGACTCTTTACTGCGAATCCGATCTGCCCGCATGAAACCGCTCTCGCTGACTGACGACAAAGGCACTTGGCAACGTTGACTGAGACACCTGCCATTTACGCAACCTGCGCGAACCATCAGTACCAGCAACCTCCGCCCCACGACCCCCCCTCCCTCTCCCTTGCTCACACCGCCGCGCCAAGCCCCCGCCCCCAGCACACCAACCAAGCTCCCGTCACCCCCTGCACCCTCCTGACCTCGCCCCCACCCAACCCCCCAGGGCGTGCGCGTGGAGACGGACCTGCGCACCAACTACACCCCGGGCTGGAAGTACAACCACTGGGAGATGCGGGGCCTGCCGCTGCGGGTGGAGCTGGGGCCGCGGGACATGGAGGCCGGCGTGGTGGTGGTGGCGCGCCGCGACACGGGTGGGTGCTGGGGGCGTGGAGAGGGGCGTTGCCGTGCGGTGCGGTGGTGATGCATACGAGAGCGTCCGCGCTTGTTTATGTGTGTGTGTGTGTGTGTGTGTGTGTGTGTGAGTGTGTGCATGGGCGTGTGTGGGTGAAGGGGCGGTGATGTCACCACAGTTCCTGACCCGGGCAGGCACACGGCATTGGGCCCCCGGGGTCACTCTGAAGACAGACAACTGCGACGGTATCTGAGCCCTACGGACATTGTGTGTGCGCGCGTGCATGTGTGTTTGCATGTCTGTGTGTGCATCTGTGTATGTGTGCATATGTGAGGTGGTGGTGGCAAGCTGCGCGAGGTGGCAGCCCTGGCCGTGATGAGACCACACATAAGGGATTTACTCGAGCGCCCCCACCGGGGCGTGATGAGATGAATTTCGTGTACCAATGGATCCTGCTGAGCCAAAGCCTTGCACCGGTTACAACCCTGCTGTCTTGAAAGCACCCACAGCCAGAAAACATCTCCAGCCTTGCAACAAAGTCAGCGACGCCTCCCTTTAGGTGCTCAATCAGAATCTGCTCTGTCCTGCTGAACCACCCAATCATCGATGCCCCCACGCCCCAGGCGCCAAGGAGACGGTGGCGTGGGCTGACCTGTCGACGCGGCTGCCGGCCCTGCTGGACACCATCCAGGCGGAGATGCTGGTGCGGGCGCGCGAGCGCTACGACGCGTGCCTGGAGACGGTCACCACGTGGGAGGATTTCATGGCGGCGCTGGAGCGCAAGTGAGACGCGCCGCTGCGTGCTGCCGCTGCTTGCTGTCGCTGCTTGCTGCCACTGCTTGCTGCCGCTGCTCGCTGCCGCTGCTTGCTGCCGCTGCTTGCTGCCGCTGCTTGCCGCTGTTGCTTGCTGCGACTGCTCGCTCCTGCTGCTCGCTCCTGCTGTGGTGCTGCCTTTGTGACCCCCTCTGGCGCAGTCCAAAGCCTCACAGGCCCCTCCCCTCGTACCCCAAGCCACCGCACCTCATCCCCCCCTCCCCCCCCACGCGCAGGCACATGGTCCTGGCGCCCTGGGCGGACGAGGAGGAGGTGGAGGAGGACGTGAAGAAGCGCTCCGCCACCGCAGACAGCATGGGCGCCAAGACCCTCTGCCTGCCCTTCGTGCAGCCGGAGCTGCCGGCGGGCGCGGTCTGCTTCGCCAGTGGGAAGCCCGCCAAGAACTGGGCGCTCTGGGGGCGCAGCTACTGAGGGCGCGCCCCAGGTGCCGCGGCGGGCCGCTCCTCCCTGCTTCTTCGCCGGCCGGGGTGCGGTCGGGACGGCCAAGGTGCTGCGCTCGTGCGCACGCTGTCATTCATGCTACCATCTGGCCAAACAAATCATTGTGTATCTGCTGATGGCGCCCCAACCGGCGCCGATTTCATGAAAGTCGATGTGTATTCAACATACAGGATAGCTTGTGCTGCCATGCGGTTGGGCCCGCGTGTAAAGACTGCTCGATGATGTCACTGGCCTGGCCGTTGCCCTGGGGAGGGGCCGACTAAGGACCGTAGCAGGGGCCTGATCTGAGGCAGGCGGGGCGACTGCTGCCGCATGCGCTTCAGGCCTGCCAGGAGACATTCAGGCGTCAGGCGGTCACCCCTGAGGGCTGGCCCCGGCCCCATCGCACTGATGGCCAGACTTTCCCTACCAAAGGGACCCGGCAGGAATTTGTTCGGGTTGGAGCGCATGGACAGCCAGCCAGAGCTACGTATTACTAAAGTCATAAGGTTGGGGGCAATCATGCATGTCGACTTGTGCCTTTGTTTGCAGTGAGATTCAACGCCTGCTGTGATGGGTTGCAAGGGTACACGTTGAAAGGCCATCAAACTAGCCGCTGCGCATCGGGCACTTGAGCCCTTGCACTGATGGAAGTTTTGAGGTCCCTGAGGCTGGCAACGCATGCAGCCGTGATGAGCAATTGGCAGAGGTGCACGGCAGGCATGCGGGGTGCTTGTGTGTTGGCATCAAGTGATGGTACGTACAAGAGGGTACAAGGGCGGGCGGCACGGGCGGCGGCGCCTGCAGCAGGGGTGAGGGATCGGCCTGATGCGCGTGTTTGTGCTTCTCAACTGGCACGCCCGGAGCTTAGTGAGTTAGGTGCGTGGCGCCAAGGCCCTGGCCGGTGCGGGGGACGTCAAGCGTTCAGCAGGGCCGCCTCTGAGAGCCGCTGCTGGCGGCGCAGCCGCGGCTGGCCGGCAGGGCAAGACATCGCCCGGCTGGCCACCAGAACGGGGGCGCCGCGCGCACAGGGGGTGCCGCGCAACACGCCGTCGTTCAGGCCGCAAGTGGGGGCCCAGGCCGTTGAGGACGCCTGGGCGGACGCTGATCAGGCTGCGTCGTCGCTTGGGGGCAGCTTGCTGTAGACGGCGTTCTCGTACCGCCGCACGTCGGGCGCCTGGTCGCGCGCGCAACCGCCCGCGTCCTTGCCGGGCTTGCCGGCCGCCGCCGGCTTGCCGATGACGCAGGCCGCGCCGGCCGTGTCCTCCGCGCCCAGCGCAAAGATGTAGGCGGGCCCGCCGTTGCCGCCGCTGCCGCTGCGCGCGGCCGCGC